GATGAAGGCAGGCAAATAAAAATGCACAATTCTGTCTCTTAAATTATTATTGACCAGTCTATAGGGAAAGTTTTTTTTAAGCATTGAGTTTTAAATGTCTCAAGTGTAAGTACATAATCAGCCTCTTGCTGAAAAAAGAGTCAATGTACCACATCCATTTCAACCAACAGCTAGACTAAAACAGCTTGCATGGATGTTTCATCCCCTTGTACTTGTGCTATAGTAAAAAACCCTCTCTCTTATCTCAGCTGCATGAGGGCTTCTTTTATATATGTGTATGGAAATACATGCAGCCTTAATTCTGAATAGTATGATAGTTGTTCATATGGATAGAAAGTTTTGGCAATGCAGCCTGGACTGCTTGGACAAGTCTGCAAATCACATCCACCAGAAACATCTCCAGCTGTGACAAGGGAAGACTGGAGCCCTCAGACTATCATATTTTACTTGTGTGAGGGCTTACAGCCAGAACATGGAGGATACAAAAGCACTTAAAGAGAAGAAAAGAAATAATGATAGAGAAATAATGATTAAAGAAATTACAGAGACTTTTAAATGTGAAGTCACTGACTTGGCTGAATTTGGTGTAGTCCCAGGAGAGACCAAACCACTGACAATCGAGGAAAGGTGAGAGTAAAATGAAAATATCAGGTGCATGCTCTGTGTATGAGGACTGAATAAACATGACATTGGACTGACAATTAGTGTAGGCCACAGATTGCTATTTATGCCCCCTCATCACAAAAGCTTATTCCAAACACTGTTCCCAAACACTGTGATGAAATACATGGTCTTTTTGGCTGTTCCCCCACTGAAGTAGAGGGAAGTGGCCCGAGCTGAAATTGTAAACTATCCCAAAGCTTTTTTTGGTGGTATGTTTTTCCAATAGTTGGATTCAAATTGATTCCTGGTGAACTGCAAGGAGCAAATGCATGACAGAAAAACAACAGCGGAAGAAAACCCTTTTATCTGTGAGCACTGGAACGGAGGCAAGTCTGAACACAGCAGACATAATTGCAGTGGGGTCAGATGCCTTCCACGTTAAGCGGCTGACGAAAATGCAGGAAGCGCAGTGCAGGATCCACACCGACTTCCGCTGGCGCAAGTGGAGCTGACCTGGATCTGTGTCATGGATAAGCGGCAAAACACCGACCCATTCATTCACCTCTGCGTGGGCCTCGTCCCATGACGCAGGAAGCTCTGGGAGCTGTGTGCTGCCATCGATTCCCTGTGGCTGAGAGAACGACTCCAGTCCCAAAGGAGGCTGACGTGCCCCATTCCCCCACCTGCCCTGCCGGCGTAGCATGGCTCATGGACTGCACCTTCCCAGCCAGCAGGAGCACTGACACCAGCACGTGCTTCCACTGGCTGGCTCAGTGATGTTTAGCACTATAAATCCAAAAATACTATTCGTTTGATCTAAACAGCCTCTACTGTCTTAGGAATCTCACAACTCTTACAGCTACTGAGCTGTAAGACACCACCAACACATTTTGTTCCTTATCTATGTCTCCATCAGATAACCCCCTGTGCAGGTAAGTTACGGACTAGCTCATCCCCAGTCCCCTGAGACTTCCTCTCCTGCTAATCAAGAGAAATTTCAGGGAATAATTTAGATGTGTGGTGTTTTTTCAGTGTTGTTCTGTTCGAGCAATTAACACAAAACATTGTTTAAGTTTAGGCAGCCAAGACTGCTGCTGTATTTTAGTGCTTTCTAATTTTGAGAATCTATTCTAATCCTGACCCTTTCCCAGCTAACAAGCATACCATATGTCTGATTACTCAGGTTCCCATGAAAAATAGGAAATTAAAAATTCCAGATGATTAACAAACATTTCTTCTTGTTTATTTTGAGATTACTGTTTTAAAATACCATGAAAAAAATTTAGAGACTTCTTTCTCAAACATTTACTTTATTGTTTAGATGTGTAAAAGATATTTTCGTTAAGAATGTGCTGTTTGTGCTTTTTAGAATATGATTTATTGACACTGGTTTGCTAGCAGTAAAAGATATACAATTGACTGTTTAAAGACAGTGGACAAAAGGGTGGGTGATTCCATGGTAGAATTTCAGAGGAGGGGAACTAGGCATAGACATTCTAAGCTGGTTTAATGACAGTGAAAGTCTTGAATCCTCTTCAAAACATTCAAGCCCAAAGCATGATGCAAGTTGGAGCACAACCAACAGCCTGTTATCTCTGCAGGATGTCAGCCAGGGGAGCAGGTCATGTAACCAGTGACTCCATCCAGTACAGCACGGAGCCAGGATACTGGTCAGGAGAGGTCACTGCTCTGGCAAGTAGAGACTCCCTTAAAAGTAGAGCTTCATTGTACTAATGTAGAGATTCTGTGCATGAGTTTGGTTATGAGCAGACTAATTTGGTGAGAGGCAGAAAGCTGTTGAGAAAACCAAACACTTAAATTAAGCCATCTCTCTGTGAGTGCTTGAATGAGGGGAAGAGATGGTTCCCATGCAGAAGAAAGCCTGTGTGTATGTCTGATCCAGCTACAGCATTTCAGTAGAGAACATCAGAGGGGAAAGGCTGGGAGGCAGCACTGGGGCAGCCTCAGCTGCCACCTGAGGACAGCAAGCCACTGCTTGATTCTTGTCCTAATATCCTCCACCAGAAATGTTTGTCCTTGCTACAGCTTGTTTATTCACCCATAAATGTGCATTGGTGGTAATAAATGCCTCTGTTATTTTGAAAGTAGCAGTTGATAATTATAAAGTGCTTGCTCTGAGCTCGAGCTGCTGGGCTTCATCCCTCCTGCCTCGTGTGAGCTACCCCCACTCACTGCATCACATCTAAAATTAGATAAGATGCTGTATCCTGTGAAGTGCAGGGCTCAGAGCTGCAAGAGCTGGACCAGGCACAGGTGCACAGCTCCTCAGTTACGAAGATGCTTTCCGACAGATCACTGAAGAACAATGATGATCAGAAGTGTTACAGAAGTAAAGCAGCCTTCACATCTAGGAGCTCCAGATCAGCCAAAGAAAAATGGGAGGTTGTTCTATTTCTTTTGGTATGTCTTTTAGCTCTGTATTTTCTAAACAATATGTGGGACAGCTGTCAGTAGCTCTGGGCCCATGCAACTGCTTGGGCCAAATTCTTCCCCGAGGTAGTTGCACTGCTTTCATTGTATTCATACCAGTGATGAATGTTGCTCTTCTTCACTTAGGAACAACACAGAGAGCTCGTGAGATTTAAACATTCTTTCAGTGCTTTCCTTCTGATTGAAGCAAGTTTTAGTACTTAGAAAATGCTGTGGGCTTAAGAAATGGCTGTATTCTTCATCATGCTCTGAAGCTTTGCTTCAGCTTCCCACCAGACTCAGCCCATAGTATCCATGCAATTTATTTTAGAAGTCTGTATTCCCAGTGCACTGCTATTCTTTAAACATCTGGTGCACTTAATATTTCAAAAGCACTAATCTGGGGGGAGAAGGGTTAAAATGTGAAACTAGAGGAAAAACAAACTAGGGAAAAGAAATTCTGACAGAAACTTCAAGCAGCTAAGAAACACTAGAGCTGTCAAATCATGCATTTTGGATTTGAGCTGAATCAAATCACAGAAGTGCTTTTTCACTGCTTCGTCTGAAAGCAATTTAGCTTTTCTGTGTTAGCAGATTATGCTGTTTTCAACAGTTGTTGGAGAGATGACTGATGAAAAGCATTTTCATTGTGGGTGTGCTTCCAAGTACAGACAGAGCTGTGGCACTCAAACCCCAAAGGGTTTTCTTACCCTGATCTCTCCTGAAGCTGTGGGTAAGTGGTCTGTCAAGCTTTCTGCAGCACTATTCCCTCAGACCCAGCTTCAGTGTGGCTCTTGGGACCCCAGACTTCAGTGTATGGGATGGCTTTGTGTTTTTCTCAGGGTGCATCCTCAAATCATGAAGGGATTGGAGAGGGAAAAAAAGCCCAGAACTCTGAGCAGGAATCAGTAGAAGATGGGAACTGTACCTGGCAGTTGGTCCCGAGAAAGAACTTCAGGATTAGGCATCCTGAACCTGGATCCCACGTGAGAATCAGCCCATGGCTCCATGAACAGAGGATAACTGCAATGTAAGCATTGGCATGCTTACATTGTTCAGCTGACTTTGGAGGCTGGTCTGTGATAGTTTTAACTCGGGTGAAAATCAAACCCTATGCCTGGTTCTGTCACAGTGTAAGTACTGCAAGGTAGCACTCAGTAGCAGCAATGACACTTGGAGAATCTGTAAGTTATGAATGACAGAATAAGCCAATTGTCAGTAAAAGGCAAATGTACTAAGTTTGGAATAATGACATTTCTTATGTGATCTGTCCCGCATTCCTCGGAGTCAATGAAAAAGAGGCAACAGTGAAATCAAAGCATGTCAAAACCTTGCACTCATACAGATGGTTGAATCCAGTTACTGTTGCCTACCATTTTAATAAAAGAAATACTCCAAAGTTACTTCAGATTTCACCGGCCTAGATGGTCTTAAAATAATGCAGGAATTTGCAAATGAATTATAGTTTTCTGCAGGCAGCAAATTTTTTCCACTAGAGCAAAGGTATTTGGAGCCCCAGTTGTGTGTTTACTATCAAACATGTATTTTTGGGCCTTCTTCCACCAGAACTGCAGTAAGCCTCCATCCCCAAACTCAGCAGCTATATTTATCCATGGACCATGTTTTCTACTGCAGTATCAATGACCTTGCCTGTAATTATTCTTCACAGGGGAAGCTTAGCTCAGTCCTCCAAGTAATGCAGTAACTCTGAACAAAAATAACCCAAAAGTCCACAACAGGAAACGTTAACAATGGCAGGATTACTGGCCACCATGTCACCGTAAAATAAACGAGCAACTAAGAGGGAGTTCAGGGAAAAGCAGCACCACAATTAAGTAACAGGAGGGACTGACTTATGAGGAAAGATTAAATGAGCTAAGCGATGATGAAAGGGTGAACGGAACAACTGCCTCCAAATGTTTGAAAGAAGAAACCATCCAGGACAGGGAGGGATTCTCTAAACTACTGCCAGGAGTTAAGAGTAATGGAAAGAAACCAATAAAATGAACACAGCAGTCACCATAACTATTTCTTCAGCTCAGAAAAAGAAACCCAGTGCTTTTGGCAGTGTGGAAATCTTGCTAATTTGTCCTGTTTTATTTCTTATCCATATCCCACAAAGAATGGGGGGAACACTTAAAATTATGTAATGGCGCAATAATGCTGAAATATTTTAGGCTGGCAGCTTTGAAGGACTGTGAGGGAGCTGTGCTGACATCCTCTTCCAGCTGCTGTCAGACTCAGACCCTGATTTCTTGAGGTGCCTTAGAAAGCCTTGAGGTTTCAGCTGAGAAAAGCAGCTCTGCACAACCAAGCACTTAAGCAAACACTTCAGGCAAATGATGAACTGAACTCCCACAGCTATAAATCACATCCATGATTCCCAAATGAGGAACCTGAGTCTGCCCTCAGCAGTCCCTGTAGCAGACGGTCACAAAGTACACGAAGTCAGAATTCTCCACAGCTATCCCTGGCAGACCTTTGGTTCACATCCTAATGTAGTTAATATTTTTGCAGCAAAACAGCTGTGAGGCATCATGTTGTGTTTGTTTTCATTAACTCCTCCCCAGTGGGCTTATATATTTGTATTTCCTTGTTTACATATTTGTAGTGTCCCTAGGGGGATACACACACTACCCCTAAGGTTAGGGGCAAGTTATTGGAGGGCAAGTACTTCCCTCTGATGCACAATTTGTCCTGCCTCTTTGCTCTGCCAGAGACGTAAATCTTTCTGGAAATGTTAGAGCAAAGTCCCTTTAAACATGTGGTTTCTTTCAGCAGCAGTTTTCAGACTGTGCTTTTTGAATTGCTGGGCCAGAAGTTTGTGTTTCCAATTGTCACTCTCTGAGACACTTTTCCATTGTTAATGCAGTCCCAGGCGCTTTACAGCCTGCTCTCTTTATAGTCGTTCCACGGCCCTGCGTGCTGAGGTCCAGATCTTTCCATCACAATTTGTGCTGTCATTCTCCCGACGCGGCGCGAAGCCGCCGCCCGCGAGGGGACGGGGACTCGCGGCTCCCGCCGCTGCTTCCCACGGCACCGACCGCGCTCCGTGCGGGCCGTGCAGCAGCCCCAGCCCCAGCCCGGCCCGTCCGTGCCGCGGCTGCTCCTGCAGCCCCCGCCTCGCCGCTCCTCCGGCCGGGGATGCCGCGGGCTCGCCCGGAGGTCGCGGCTCCCGGGTACCGTTACCGGCGGCTCCGCGGCAGCGGGCGGAGCGCGGCCTCCCGGCCCGGCCCTGCCCGCCGCACTGAGCCCCGCACCGCGCCGCGGGATGTTCGCGGTGCCGCCCGGCCGCTGCCGCCCGTGACCCCGAGCCGCACGCCCGGCCGAGCACCAGGTAAGCGCTGCCGCGCCCGGCTGCCTCTCCCGCGGCGCTCCGCTGCCCGCGCCGGGGACGGGGCATCGCCACGGGGAGGGGGCCCCGGGGGCCGCGCGGGAACGGAGCCGCCCCGCTGGGCCCGGCGCTGCGCCCCCGCGGGGAGAAGAGACGGGGCCCGGCCCGGCCCGCGGCCGCTGGGGCTTCCCTTTGCCCGCCGGCGGCACCCGAGGTGCCGCTTCCCAACCTGGGCAGTGCCGGAGGAGCCAAACTTTATCTGGGATCGTCGCCGGCTCCTCTCCCGCGGAGGAGCGCCGCGAAGCCGCCGCGGCAGCCCCCACGCCCCGTCCATCGCACCGCATCCCCTGCCGGGCGGGGCAGCCCCGGGGTTCCCGGCACGGCGGCGGCCCGGAGCCAAGCGGGGCTTCCCGGGAGCGGGGCCGCCGAGGGGGCAATGGTGGGAAACAGTCGCCGTGGAGACGGGCGGCTTGGGAAAGGGGAAAAGGGCTTGGGGAAAGCCCATGGCCTTATTTTCCCCGGTAGTAAGCCCCAGACCAGCCCGCATTAGGGGGAGGATGCGAGCAGGACTGGGAGGCGGCGGTCCAGCCGCGCTGCCACCGCGCCCGGCGGTGCCTTCCCCGGGGCTGCTCCGGCGTCGGTATCTCGGTTTTTGAAGAGATTAAAAAAAAAAAAATCCCGATTTTATATCGGTTTAAAACCAGCTCTGCCTTGTCGCAGGATGATGGGCAGGTCTGCCGATTATTCACCAAGTGCAGTTAGTCCAGTTCATTAGAAAGAGTTGACCAAGCAAAATGAGACGCTTATGAAAGACCGCTGAATGTATCCTACCAGAATTTCATGAGGGTTGAAGTGTGTAAAAGTAAGGACTTTTATTGCTCAGATAAGTATGTCAGTTATGGTTTGGCTTTTTAATAATTTCTTTTTTTTTTTTTTTTTTTACTTTTGGAGTTAGTACTTCCTGTGACGAGAGATTCAGTATTATTAGCACCACTGTTTAAAGACAACCATGTAAAGTTCACTCCCATAAAGCACTGTTGGTTTGAATGATGCTCTAGAAGATTGTACAGGCAGAAAAGTGCTTTGCAACGTAGTGGAGAAAAACGTGACAACAGTGGAAATAAATAATAATTTAAAAATCTCCTTTTCCAGTTCAACCAATTATACATCTTGCCTTCTCCCTACCCGTCACGCCCCCGCTCCTGCCTTCGGGTGTATTAGACCTGCTTTTACTTTTCTTTTTGGTATGATGAAAGCAGTCAAGAGGGTAGCACTCCCCTGGGCTCTGTCTTCTTCTGGAAAAACCTGTTTGCTCCTATTGTGCAGATCAGCCTGGAGAGCTGGGCTGAGCACAGTTCTGAGATGATCCCTAATTTTAACCTGGCCTTGTATTCCTGCTGTCTCACAAGTGCCTGTGTCCCAGGGCTGCCAGCAAGGCACAGCAGCCTGGTGCTGAGCACCTGTGGTTTCTGAATCATTTCCTTTTCCAGTTACTTTCTGAGTTTGCTAAATTTGTGGCATCCGTGCTGCTGTTTTCTTCCAGTCTGAATGCTGACAGGCCCTGCTAGAGGCTTTGCCATAGTATAACATTCTGTGTGTTTTATTTGTTATTATTTACTCAAGTAAGCAGTTTTAGAAATAAACTTTCTGATGGAAAGCCTAAAAATCTATTTACTTGGTATTCCCCAGTATTGGAAAAGGCTAGTGGTGGATTTCAGTGAAAAATGAAATCAGAGACTGCTAAATTCTCCTTACAAGTGCTCACTCAGTGCTTTGAGCTATCTTGCAGTCAGTTCCTGTAGCAGTTGAAGTTGATTTCCTGAGGCAGCCTCATCCCACCTCGGTATCTGGCTTTTGAGGCCCACAACAAGGAGCCCTGACCGGGGAGGGGGGCAGCATCCGGGCTGGGCCGGCCGGAGCCTTGAACAATGCTCAGGTGGCCTCAGTGCCGGAGGGACAGCGCAGTGACACCCAGAATAATGGACTGGGTCAGAGTGCTGGGAGGAGCAGTTCCCCTGATTGTCCATTGACCTCACTCCCAGCTGCTTGAAGTGGGCCATATTCACCGCCAGAAAGGCACTTCCCAACCCCAGGCTTTTTGAGAGCTGTGGGAAGTTAAAAAAAAAAAACAACAACTCTATTACCATCCAAACAATTCACAGTAACAGGAGCTAGAGTTTAATTTTATATTTTTTTCCTCTTTAAGGAAACCTGGTAGAAAGATGCTGTCCCCATTGTCAGAGTTGTGAAGGGCAGGGGAGGGCTGGCTATATAATAAAGAACACACTGAAAATGAAACACTTGACCTCAGGAAAAACAAACCTTCTAAATACTTTAAACCCTTTCTTAATAAGTCAAAGAAGCCATTCTCCTTCTAAAATGATTTGTCAAAGGACTGTTAACAAGTGTTGGATTTCACATGCTCGATATAATGGAAACTCTACTCTCTTCTTCATCCTTGAGCTGTTCACCCATGGATTTTGTGCAACAAAGCTCTGTTGCAGATTTAAGTTACAGTGCAGTGACTTTTGTTGGGTTTGTGTTTCTAGGACCTCTTTCTGGTTAGGAAGATACTAGGTTTGATTCAGCCTCTTGGCCAGGTGTGATTATGTCAGTTGTTCCATTGCTTTCATTCATAACACAGGGCAGGCCCTTCTGCTTTCCCATCCCCAGGCAGGCAAAGTGTGTTAGAGCTGTCTTTCAGCCTGTCAGACCCTAGATGAACTTTCTGTCACTGTATTCATCTTACATTTTAGTGCCTGGCACATGCAGTTAATCAAACACAGCATAAACTTTACAACTGTGTCATTCAGAGAGTCATAGGTTTGGACCAAGATGAGGGTTTATTCAGAATTTTTTCAGTATAGAGTTTCTGTACAGTCTCCTTCTCCCTTGAAGGACTGATTTACAATCTGGTGTTTGATCTGGTCAGATTTTTAAAAGGTAGGATAATGCCACGCATGTGTTTTGCACATTTCCCACTTGTTTGGGTGAATCCTGCCTTGCAGTGCATGTGCTTTCTTGGTTTTAAAGTAAAACGAAGGCCTCCCCTGCAGTACAGCATGGCACCGTTCTCCAGGGCAAGTTGCTAATGCCACTGTTAGACGAGCGTATAAAGTTCCACTGAATTTGAACCAGAACATGTAAAAACATTTGGTTCTGTACCATAGTATTAAAAATCCATTTCTCTCTGTCAAAGCAAACTTTAGCTTTTCCATTGACTTCCAGGTGAGCAGAATACAGCCTTTTATACCAACTTCTAATCCTGGGTTGACCTGCCATCTGCTGAAAATGGAGATGCTAGCTCACATCTCCCTTCAGTGGCAATAGTACATAGTGACTTTTTTTTGATGAAAGAACCCAAATTCCTGAATTCAACAACCCAGCAATAAGACTGCCAACATGCTGAGAGCATTTCCAATTTATTTACTTATCACTGAAAGGAAGGTGGGAGTGTGGGCTAATTGCTTGCTCTGGAGCATATGGTGAAGCAGAGCACAGGTCCAGCCCTGCCCTGTGCATGCAGCAGTGTAAGAGCCTGACACACATGCAGTTTGCAGCAGAATGCAACAGCTGAGAACTGCAGGTTGCTGTCAGAGGGTTTGCTGCTCTGTGCAAGGACCATTATAGATCACATTTGCCAGTTGATGTGAATGTTTGATGAGCTGTCTCAGGGGTAGGTAGTTTTCACCAGTGTTCACAGACAGTATTCTTGGAAAAGCCCCTTTTTGAGTGTAACGTGACTAAAAAGAGTATTTTCTCTTTGCAGTCATTTAACCATGATGACATAATTTCAAATACTTGCACACCTGCTATAGTGTTGTCAGAATCCCCCCCAGCAACTGCTTTTATCTTACAGTTTATGCTTGATAGAAACTACATTTTTTTAATGTTTTATGCAGCAACAGACTTTTTGGTGGAATGAGGTTACAGCTAATCCCTCTTTGGTGGTCTATGGATGGACACTGTCCTGAGAAGGTCCAGTAGAGAAGGTAGTTGGTTTTCCAGTTCCTGATCTTTAAAAGTCATCCTGTGTGAATACCAATTCTGATTCTGTAGTTACTAGTGTATCTGTGTATCTCTGTGAGTGTATGTAGATCACATGCAATTTACGTGCTTTATCTATTTTAGTCTTTCTTATTCTTTCAGGGGTATGGATGAGACCATCCATTTACTGTCAGGGATTTTTGTAACAAAGGATGATTTGGGGGAAGAAAATCTACCAACTGCTTCAGGCTGAGAATGCCTGTATGTTTATCAAGGTGTTTTGGGATCCATGTTTTATGAGACTATCGTGAAGTTTTAGAAAGTTCTTTTGTGTTGCATGTAAGTAGGAGCAAAAAAGATTATTTATATGAAAACGTCTCCCAAATCATGAAAACAGAAATTCTTTAATGTTTTTGGCTCAGTCACTGCATAAAATGTTTTTATCTAACTTGTCAGATGATTGAGCTGCTTAAGACTAGAATGGACCTTTTGTGCTTCCTATCCCAATTAGGAATTAATTTTTAATTATATCAGCTGAACATTTTTAAATATGAGCACTTGTATTAGCCTCAGGCACCTATTTCTATGATGATGAATGGCACTGATTTGTGTAATATTGTCTGTTCTGAGACATTATAACAGCATTGTTTCTGTCTTCATTATCTGAGTATGTTAGATAGTGTTTGTGGAAAACATGGTATAACTTTGATTACAACTTGATGTGATTTTATTTTCTCAATTGTTTAGATTATTTCAGGAGTACTAAAATATCACTTACTGGATTGTCACTTGCTTGGTGCTTTGGTTTGCTGTTAAAGGCTTTTACTCACATTAAAACCATTTTGCAGCTCTGGAAAGAGGGCAGGCATCTTGAGTGATAGCCCTGATAAACAAAGAATGTTACTCCCAGAGCTGAAAAATGGTAAGTATTGCCTTTGAAGTAGTCTTTGACATGGAAATGCGTGGAGTGTACTTCTCTTTAGATTTGGAGAAATAGCTCAGCAAAGCCAAGGCTC